CTCCTCCCTCTGCCTCAGCCTTACGGCCTCCTCGCTGTTCTTCCAACACACCAGGCGTGGTCCTGTCTCAGGGCCTTTGTACGGGCTGTGTCCGGGGCCTGGAAGACCCCCACGTGACTCCCTCCTCACCTGCGTTGCTCGGGCCTCTCCCTAAGACGCTCCTTACACCCGCACACTTAAAGTGGCACACACAGCCCAGTGGCGTCTCAGTCCCTCTGTCCCTGCCCCCGTGTCTTCATCCCGCAGACAGAGCCTTCCTCACTGCCTCTCATGGGGCCTGTGACTCTTCTATGTGTCCGTGCCACGTGCCGGGCCCCTGTGCTGGGGCAGAGCTTGCAGGAAGCCCTCCTGAGAGCCAGTGCTGGCCATGACCGGTGTCACCCGAGCCTGAGGGCTGCGGCGTGCCTGGCGTCCCTCAGTGAGGAGTGGGGGCCTTCTGCTGCCAGCACCTGGTTGGCTTTCACCGTGGGTAGGAGGGGCCAGCTGAGTGACGGAACTGAGGGAGATCTAGCTTTGAATCGGTGACCCCAGAATCTGAGCTGGGGGGATGTCCCCGTGCTCCCCAGCTCCCATGAGCACAGGGCGAATCGGGGCAAGTGACCAGCATGCCTGCAAAGTGCCACATATCCGGTGGCTACCAGCAGGTCCCCCCTACCCCCCACATTGCGGCCACGTCTCCTGGGTGTCCAGGTGGCCTCTCCCCCATGGCCCTGGAGGGTGCACGGCATCGTCGTGGCCAAGCCAGGCTACCGAGTGGCCTCTGACCCTGCTGTGCGCCCGCAGGCGGACCTACGTGGGCGCCATGCCCGGGAAAATCATCCAGTGTCTGAAGAAGACCAAGACGGAGAATCCCCTGATCCTCATCGACGAGGTGCGTGCCGAGAGGCCCTGAGCCTTCCTAACCCAGAGTCCCAGGCAGCCCTGACCGGGCAAGGCTGTGTGCAAGACGAAGCCCAGAGCCCTCCAGGCCCCAGGATCCCTAGGTCAACTGAGGTGCCATCGCCATGACGCTGGACCTGATGGCACGGACGGCTCCCTCCCACCCACAGCCATGCCCAGCAGGCTGCCCATCCAAGGCAGGGTGTGGGTGCTGCTCTCACGCAGGGCGTCCCCAGCCCCGACCCCAGGGTCTCCCCACTGGGCGGGCTGGCCAGGGACATGGCGAGAGCCACCACCTGCTGTCTGCTGCCCCAGGTGGACAAGATCGGCCGGGGCTACCAGGGGGACCCCTCGTCGGCGCTGCTGGAGCTGCTGGACCCAGAGCAGAACGCCAACTTCCTGGACCACTACCTGGACGTGCCCGTGGACTTGTCCAAGGTGGGGGGCCCATCCGGGGCCTGGGCTCGGGGGGAGGGTGAGCGGCCAGTCCCCCAGCACCTTGCCGCCTCCCCCAGGTGCTGTTCATCTGCACGGCCAACGTCACGGACACCATCCCGGAGCCTCTCCGAGACCGCATGGAGATGATCAATGTGTCAGGCTACGTGGCCCAGGAGAAGCTGGCCATCGCAGAGGTAAGCCCAGGCCCTCCCCACCAGTCTTCGTCCCCAGAGCAGGGGGTATCCCCCAGAGCCTGCAGAGGCCGTGCCGCTGGGAGTTCCTGGACCCGGGAGAGACAGGTGGGACCTGTAGCCCAGAGGAGCAGATGCGGCCGTGAGAGACACACCAGACGCTTGTGAGCAGCTGTGGGGTGGCACGAGTGGGCACGGGGTTTAGGGCCCGGGACTGTCCAAAACACCGCCCACCACCATCAGGCCACACGGCCGTCAGCTGTCAGTGCACACACACTCCGTCTCCCGGGCCGGGCCCCCACCTGAGCCAGAGTGTAGGGAAGATTTCTAGCAGCCCGGAAGCAGCGGGGCCTGTGGTCCCCCCGGAATGAGGCTTGAAGGAGGAGTGGTTTCAGTGAGGAGCATGCGGGGTCTGTTTCTGCGGGGGAGGTGGGGGTCCCGTATTCCTGATGTGTTTTCTCTCCGGAAAGTGCATTTCTCCCCTAGGAGCACTTTGACAGCCAGTGGTGGGCACTGGTCCCTGCCCCTGAGGCCTTTCCAGCATCCTCGTGTCCCCTGGGGGCTTCAATGCCCACTGCTGGGTCCAGCTCCCAGCCTGACTTCCCCAGGGGGCGGGCCTATAGTTCCTTGGGACAGGACCGGGGGGGATGGGGACCCCTCAGGGCATCAGGAATGCCCCCCAGTATCAGTGGCAAATGTAGAGTGGCCTGCATGGCTCTGTCTGTCTCACAGATGCCCTCCCCGCATGCCGTTAGAGCTCAGAACTATGTCAAGAATTGTGGGGGGCTGTCGCTGACCCTGGAGCCCATGACCCAGTCCCCCTTCTCATGTGGTGAGGGGAACAGCCACGTAACCAGTCAGCTACCCTACAGGCCCTGGGTCTGTGTATGGAGTCAGCCCAGAGACAACCAGGAGGCCTTCCCAGAGGAAATGGTATCTAAGATGCCACTGGGGAATAGAAAGTGGATCCAGGCCAGGCGCGGTGGCTCAAGCCTGTAATCCCAGCACTTTGGGAGGCCGAGACGGGTGGATCACGAGGTCAGGAGATCGAGACCATCCTGG